ACTTTCAAGCCGACCTTCAGGGTAATGTATCAGTATTTGTTATCCTGTAAATGGCCTACATTGCAAAGGCATGGTGTGCAAAGTGGAGAGTGTACATGGTAAACATTGGAGACGTGTTATCATCGGTCTAACATTATACTCAACTGCAATGGGCACTGTCAATAAGTGAAAGGGCCTACATCCTATTGGTGCGTACTTATTTTAAGGTTTTCAAGGTATTTAAATTTCAATGTCTAGATCTACAGGCTGTTATCTAAATGGCAAAAAGTAGTATTACCACTATTCTTCCGTATGCATTCGACTCGTATGCACATGCATAAGCACATACAGTGATGCAGATCTCCCTGTGAAAGATATAAGTAATTTCTGAATTGGACCAAAGTAACCTAGAGGCCTTCGATTAGCCTGGAAGGAGTATAAATACAGAAGTCATTCAGCATGGGAAAACTCCGTGGTTCATAATCTATGAGCTCAAAAGGAGTTGAATCTGTATCACACTTCCAGAGTACAGCAGCATCAGCAGCTGCTGCAGCGAGTAAGCACGCGTATTGTAGGTCTATGACATTATAGCGCACCGCTCCATGAGTTACAGTATGTACAAACTAACCTCTGTGTCGAATACAACTGTCACAAGTGAATGGCGATGTGCAGTGCCTCCAGTCAGCCAATGTGCTGTATTAGCAAGGGGTGTGATTCTGGAAAGTAGCATGTGATACAGGAATGTAAGAACTTTAAACCGACAGACAACACACAATGTATGGAGGCTTGGTCATGCACTGCTTTTCAAACAGTGGGACTTTTCTAATGAGTCTTTGGAATAACATTTGCTGAAGACTTCAGTCCCTTTATTTTACTGTATTTCATTTTGCTTCCCACGGTACGTACTGGAAAACCGGAAATATTCGGTGGTGTACTGTTTCTGGAATTGCCCGAAATCAACGGTTCCGTAGCGCGAAACCTTTCGTGAACCAGTTTTCCAGATCCAAGAAATGCATTCTGGACACTGTGTGGCATGACTTGCTTGAATTTTAGGTCGCGTTTTAATTTAGGTGAAAATTACCTGTACTGAAGTTACCGGAAATACATTTCCACTGAAATTTTACAGTGTAAAAGTACTCTAATTTCAGAAATTTTCGGTGCTCAATATTTTCGGTATGAGGGCAACAGGCTAGGTTAGGTGAACAGAAATTTTCGGTACAGAGAAGCAGTTCCCTATTTGATTATATGTGTCAGTGTTTGTGTCAGTGTTGTGTCAGTGTTTGTTCGGTATATTGAAATTTTAGGTATGAAACAGACGAACCGAACGTACAGAAAATAAAAGTACACCGAAAATTTGTGAAATTACAGTATACTAAGTGATTTTCATACAACTGCCAGCCAGTATTCTACTTCATGAACAAGCCGAGCGTTTATCTTTCCTAGATGGTTTGCATGACGGTCAGTTAGACTGACTTTCCCTATCCTTGGAACGCCATCACCCTCAATGAGCCAGGCGAAGATGAAGCTTCTAAAGCGGTGGGAGCTGAGTAAGTTATACCCGTCATAAGGTGGGCAGAGACCAACATCTCCTCAGTTGCATCCATGTTACCCTCGTACCAGGCCAAGAGGTCAAAAATAACTGTGGATCTCATTTCAAGTAGGACTTGGATCTAGCACCCTCTGTTGCTCATTCATTGTCTCAGACCATCTCACTATCCCGACTGGCCTACTTCCTCCGCGTCATTAAAATTGTCGCTTCGCACATCGCAATGTTTGTTACTCGGCTAATCTTAGTCAGACTGTCGGAATCGCTGTTTTCTGTGTTTGAACATTGGTGCTACCCTTCGTGCGCAATGTGTACTTGTTACTGAAGCGGTGGTGGTCTCGCACTTTTTCGGAGGTCTCTTCCGCACCAAGCAATTTCATCGCGCTCCGCACTATTCCGCCCCAGAGCGCATATCGTTTTTCTGGAGTTCGTGCCGTCCCACATCGCTCCTTGGGCATTTATCAAGACTGCATGCTCCGGTGTTCTGATTGAGACTCAAAAGGGCTAATTTCATGTGAGTACTTCGAAGTAATCAAGGATACATGCAAGGTATTTAGAAATGAAGTGTATTATTTTGTGAGAAATCTAATGATGTAAAATAGGACACTAATAGAGGGCTTTATGACCACAGTATTAGTCACACCATCACTCTACAATGTACTCTCACTCGACTGCTGCACTTACACATCACCACCATATGTAAAACTAGCTGTCTGGAGATTCTGCAATTGATTATACGGCATTGTCCTCACGATGGTGGTGATGTAGAAGTGGAGTGGACCGGCCGAAAGTGCATTGTCCAGCAGTGTTGTGACTTAAGTTAGAAGTGCATTGAAGTAGCACAGGGAAGTAAGAAGTTGAGATCAGCGTGCCTGGTATATACTTCCTCCGCGTCATTAAAATTGTCGCTTCGCACATCGCAATATTTGTGACTTGGCTCGTCTTAGTCAGACTGTCGGAATCACTGTTTTCTGTGTTCGAACACTGGTGTGACCCTTCCTGCGCAATGTCTACTTGTCACTGAAGCTGTGGTGGTCTCGGACTTTGTCGGAGCTCTCTTCCGCACCAAGCAAATTCATCGCGCTCCGCACCGCTCCAGAGCACATTTTGTTTTCTGGAGTTCGTGCCGTGACACATCGTTCGCATGGGCATTTGTCAAGACTGCAAGCTCGGGTATAAGAATCCTGGTATCTCTCCTGAATACGAACTGCTGAAGTTGACGATGGCAAGAACAAAGTAGTCTCAAATTACTAAAATGTGCTACTTGTGGCGCATGTTGCTGCGAAGGTAGCAGGTCCGAAAACACCAACAAAATCAGCGAAGCGCTTGCCAAGGAAAGAAGTTGCGGAACTGCTTACCCTATCCCGTTGGAAGGTCGTTACAGTGAACTTGAAAAATGCTAGCTTGCCTTCATCGCCTGCCACCTGGAGGCATGGATCGCTTGAAAACGAAGTTTCTCGACCTCAATTTGAACGCGCGTCTTGTTCAGCGTATCGTTGAGTGCTGAAGGGTCTGCCTAAAACTCTGGTGAAGACGTTGACCTTACTTGAGTAGCTGCAAGTGCAGCGGAGCAGGGGGTCACAAACTAAAGCTTGGTCCGTCGACAATGCTCTGCCTCGATTTCTAGCTGATTTCTTTGCTCTTCGAGTGGACAAAAATAATTTCGAAAAATCGCTCTGGGAAGCGACAATTTTAATGACGCGGAGGAAGTAATACAAAATATGAACTGCATCAGGGGTGTGTAATGGTGAAAATGACACATGCAATTACTAACAAGTTGGTATCAGATTCATTGAAAGAGACTAGTGGATTTCAGAACCTAGCTGGCGAATCAGTTCGCTCAGGTCTTATCCTCAAAATAGATACCGGGAAAGATTGAGTATTGTGAAAGTCCGCAAATACGTACGCACACACATGTAGGTGAGGTCACGCTCCTGCCGAGGCATGGTGGGCACTTTGGGTCATGAAGTAACTTTCAAGCCCAACTTCAGGGTAATGTATCAGTATTTGTTATCCTGTAAATGGCCTACATTGCAAAGGCATGGTGTGCAAAGTGGAGAGTGTACAAGGTAAACATTGGAGCAGTGTTATCATCGGTCTAACATTATACTCAACTGCAATGGGCACTGTCAATAAGTGAAAGGGCCTACATCCTATTGGTGCGTACTTATTTTAAGGTTTTCAAGGTATTTAAATTTCAATGTCTGGATCTACAGGCTGTTATCTAAATGGCAAAAAGTAGTATTACCACTATTCTTCCGTATGCATTCGACTCGTATGCACATGCATAAGCACATACAGTGATGCAGATCTCCCTGTGAAAGATATAAGTAATTTCTGAATTGGACCAAAGTAACCTAGAGGCCTTCGATTAGCCTGGAAGGAGTATAAATACAGAAGTCATTCAGCATGGGAAAACTCCGTGGTTCATAATCTATGAGCTCAAAAGGAGTTGAATCTGTATCACACTTCCAGAGTACAGCAGCATCAGCAGCTGCTGCAGCGAGTAACCGCGCGTATTGTAGGTCTATGACATTATAGCGCACCGCTCCATGAGTTACAGTATGTACAAACTAACCTCTGTGTCGAATACAACTGTCACAAGTGAATGGCGATGTGCAGTGCCTCCAGTCAGCCAATGTGCTGCATTAGCAAGGGGTGTGAAAGTAGCATGTGATACAGGAAAGTAAGAACTTTAAACCGACAGACAACACACAATGTATGGAGGCTTGGTCATGCATTGCTTTTCAAACAGGGGGACTTTTCTAATGAGTCTTTGGAATAACATTTGCTGAAGACTTCAGTCCCTTTATTTTATTGTAGTTCATTTTGCTTCCCACGGTACGTACTGGAAAACCGGAAAGATTCGGTGGTGTACTATTTCTGGAACTGCCCAAAATCAACGGTTCCGTAGCGCGAATCTTTTGGTGAACCAGTTTTCCAGATCCAAGAAATGCATTCTGGACACTGTGTGGCATGACTTGCTTGAATTTTAGGTGGCGTTTTATTTTAGGTGAAAATTACCTGTACCGAAGTTACCGGAAATACATTTCCACTGAAATTTTACAGTGTAAAAGTACTCTAATTTCAGAAATTTTCGGTGCTCAATATTTTCGGTATGAGGGCAACAGGCTAGGTTAGGTGAACAGAAATTTTCGGTACAGAGAAGCAGTTCCCTATTTGATTATGTGTGTCAGTGTTTGTTCGGTATATTGAAATTTTAGGTATGAAACAGACGCACCGAACGTACCGAAAATAAAAGTACACCGAAAATTTGTGAAATTACAGTATACTAAGTGATTTTCATACAACTGCCAGCCAGTATTCTACTTCATGAACAAGCCGAGCGTTTATCTTTCCTAGATGGTTTGCATGACGGTCAGTTAGACTGACTTTCCCTATCCTTGGAACGCCATCACCCTCAATGAGCCAGGCGAAGATGAAGCTTCTAAAGCGGTGGGAGCTGAGTAAGTTATACCCGTCATAAGGTGGGCAGAGACCAACATCTCCTCAGTTGCATCCATGTTACCCTCGTACCAGGCCAAGAGGTCAAAAATAACTGTGGATCTCATTTCAAGTAGGACTTGGATCTAGCACCCCCTGTTGCTCATTCATTGTCTCAGACCATCTCACTATCCCGACTGGCCTACTTCCTCCGCGTCATTAAAATTGTCGCTTCGCACATCGCAATGTTTGTTACTCGGCTAATCTTAGTCAGACTGTCGGAATCGCTGTTTTCTGTGTTTGAACATTGGTGCTACCCTTCCTGCGCAATGTGTACTTGTTACTGAAGCGGTGGTGGTCTCGCACTTTTTCGGAGGTCTCTTCCGCACCAAGCAATTTCATCGCGCTCCGCACTATTCCGCCCCAGAGCGCATATCGTTTTTCTGGAGTTCGTGCCGTCCCACATCGCTCCTTGGGCATTTATCAAGACTGCATGCTCCGGTATTCTAATTGAGACTCAAAAGGGCTAATTTCATGTGAGTACTTCGAAGTAATCAAGGATACATGCAAGGTATTTAGAAATGAAGTGTATTATTTTGTGAGAAATCTAATAATGTAAAATAGGACACTAATAGTGGGCTTTATGACCACAGTATTAGTCACACCATCACTCTACAATGTACTCTCACCCGACTGCTGCACTTACACATCACCACCATATGTAAAACTAGCTATCTGGAGATTCTGCAATTGATTATACGGCATTGTCCTCACGATGGTGGTGATGTAGAAGTGGAGTGGACCGGCCGAAAGTGCATTGTCCAGCAGTGTTGTGACTTAAGTTAGAAGTGCATTGAAGTAGCACAGGGAAGTAAGAAGTTGAGATCAGCATGCCTGGTATATACTTCCTCCGCGTCATTAAAATTGTCGCTTCGCACATCGCAATATTTGTGACTTGGCTCGTCTTAGTCAGACTGTCGGAATCACTGTTTTCTGTGTTCGAACACTGGTGTGACCCTTCCTGCGCAATGTCTACTTGTCACTGAAGCTGTGGTGGTCTCGGACTTTGTCGGAGCTCTCTTCCGCACCAAGCAAATTCATCGCGCTCCGCACCGCTCCAGAGCACATTTTGTTTTCTGGAGTTCGTGCCGTGACACATCGTTCGCATGGGCATTTGTCAAGACTGCAAGCTCGGGTATAAGAATCCTGGTATCTCTCCTGAATACGAACTGCTGAAGTTGACGATGGCAAGAACAAAGTAGTCTCAAATTCCTAAAATGTGCTACTTGTGGCGCATGTTGCTGCGAAGGTAGCAGGTCCGAAAACACCAACAAAATCAGCGAAGCGCTTGCCAAGGGAAGAAGTTGCGGAACTGCTTACCCTATCCCGTTAGAAGGTCGTTACGGTGAACTTGAAAAATGCTAGCTTGCCTTCATCGCCTGCCACCTGGAGGCATGGATCGCTTGAAAACGAAGTTTCTCGACCTGAATTTGAACGCGCGTCTTGTTCAGCGTATCGTTGAGTGCTGAAGGGTCTGCCTAAAACTCTGGTGAAGACGTTGACCTTACTTGAGGGAGCTGCAAGTGCAGCGGAGCAGGAGGTCACAAACTAAAGCTTGGTCCGTCGACAATGCTCTGCCTCGATTTCTAGCTGATTTCTTTGCCCTTCGAGTGGACAAAAATAATTTCGAAAAATCGCTCTGGGAAGTGACAATTTTAATGACGCGGAGGAAGTAATACAAAATATGAACTGCATCAGGGGTGTGTAATGGTGAAAATGACACATGCAATTACTAACAAGTTGGTATCAGATTCATTGAAAGAGACTAGTGGATTTCAGAACCTAGCTGGCGAATCAGTTCGCTGAGGTCTTATCCTCAAAATAGATACCGGGAAAGATTGAGTATTGTGAAAGTCCGCAAATACGTACGCACACACATGTAGGTGAGGTCACGCTCCTGCCGAGGCATGGTGGGCACTTTGGGTCATGAAGTAACTTTCAAGCCCAACTTCAGGGTAATGTATCAGTATTTGTTATCCTGTAAATGGCCTACATTGCAAAGGCATGGTGTGCAAAGTGGAGAGTGTACATGGTAAACATTGGAGCAGTGTTATCATCGATCTAACATTATACTCAACTGCAATGGGCACTGTCAATAAGTGAACGGGCCTACATCCTTTTGGTGCGTACTTATTTTAAGGTTTTCAAGGTATTTAAATTTCAATGTCTGGATCTACAGGCTGTTAGGGGCCATCCGTAAATATCGATGTTTTTTAGAGACGATATTGGTGCGTCTGGGGGGGGGGGGGGTTGAGCCATGTGCGTCTTTTCGACCATCAGAAAAATATCGATGTAAATATCTGAAGTTTCGCCGATCCCTGCATGCGGACGTCTAAATGGCTATACAAGAAATGTGAAACCAGCTTCCTTTCGCGGAGCTAAAACTCGCGACACAAGAACAAAATCAAAAATTGGAAGCTGTACGCCCATGGCGAATTTCAAGAGCAAAAGAATGAGCTGTTGATTGTGGAAATCGGCCGAACGATGCCTGCAGGAGACCTTTTTCAAGACGTAGAGGCTACTATGGGCTAATGCAGCACAAGAAGGCTGCTGGCCACAAGTGTTCTCGAGGGCTACCAAAAAAGTCATAATGCTCTCCTTCTCAATTAGACCATATATAAATACAGCAAACTTCCCATCTTGGGTTCATATTATTGACAAAAAAAGGAAAAAAATGAGCATCCAAAAATATTGATTCCATGATCTAGATGTACATGTGCGTCTTCTGGGGGGAGGGGGGGGTCAAGGGAGAGAAGCACCAATATCGTCTCTAAAAAAACATCGATATTTACGGACGGCCCCTTATCTAAATGGCAAAAAGTAGTATTACCACTATTCTTCCGTATGCATTCGACTCGTATGCACATGCATAAGCACATACAGTGATGCAGATCTCCCTGTGAAAGATATAAGCAATTTCTGAATTGGACAAAAGTAACCTAGAGGCCTTCGATTAGCCTGGAAGGAGTATGAATACAGAAGTCATTCAGCATGGGAAAACTCCGTGGTTCATAATCTATGAGCTCAAAAGGAGTTGAATCTGTATCACACTTCCAGAGTACAGCAGCATCAGCAGCTGCTGCAGCGAGTAACCGCGCGTATTGTAGGTCTATGACATTATAGCGCACCGCTCCATGAGTTACAGTATATACAAACTAACCTCTGTGTCGAATACAACTGTCACAAGTGAATGGCGATGTGCAGTGCCTCCACTCAGCCAATGTGCTGCATTAGCAAGGGGGTGTGATTCTGGAAAGTAAGAACCGACAGACAAAACACAATGTATGGAGGCTTGGTCATGCACTGCTTTTCAAACAGTGGGACTTTTCTAATGAATCTTTGGAATAACATTTGCTGAAGACTGCAGTCCCTTTATTTACTGTAGTTCATTTTGGTTCCCACGGTACGTACTGGAAAACCGGAAATATTCGGTGGTGTACTATTTCTGGAATTTCCCAAAATCAACGGTTCCGTAGCGCGAACATTTCGGTAAACCAGTTTTTCAGATCCAAGAAATGCATTCTGGACACTGTGTGGCATGACTTGCTTTTTAGGTCGCGTTTTATTTTAGGTGAAAATTACCTGTACCGAAGTTACCGAAAATACATCTCCACTGAAATTTTACAGTGTTAAAGTATACTAAGTGATTTTCATACAACTGCCAGCCAGTATTCTACTTCACGAGCAAGGGGAGCGTTTATCTTTCCTAGATGGTTTGCATGACGGTCAGTTAGACTGACTTTCCCTATCCTTGGAACGCCATCACCCTCAAAGAGCCAGGCGAAGATGAAGCTTCTAAAGCGGTGGGAGCTGAGTAAGTTATACCCGTCATAAGGTGGGCAGAGACCAAAATCTCCTCAGTTGCATCCATGTTACCCTCGTACCAGGCCAAGAGTTCAAAAATAACTGTGGATCTCATTTCAAGTAGGACTTGGATCTAGCACCCTCTGTTGCTCATTCATTGTCTTGGACCATCTCACTATCCCGACTGGCCTACTTCCTCCGCGTCATTAAAATTGTCGCTTCGCACATCGCAATGTTTGTTACTTGGCTCGTCTTAGTCAGACTGTCGGAATCGCTGTTTTCTGTGTTTGAACATTGGTGCTACCCTTCCTGCGCAATGTGTATTAATTTGTTACTGAAGCGGTGGTGGTCTCGCACTTTTTCGGAGGTCTCTTCCGCACCAAGCAATTTCATCGCGCTCCGCACTATTCCGCCCCAGAGCGCATATCGTTTTTCTGGAGTTCGTGCCGTCCCACATCGCTCCTTGGGCATTTATCAAGACTGCATGCTCCGGTATTCTAATTGAGACTCAAAAGGGCTAATTTCATGTGAGTACTTCGAAGTAATCAAGGATACATGCAAGGTATTTAGAAATGAAGTGTATTATTTTGTGAGAAATCTAATAATGTAAAATAGGACACTAATCGTGGGCTTTATGACCACAGTATTAGTCACACCATCACTCTACAATGTACTCTCACTCGACTGCTGCACTTACACATCACCACCGTATGTAAAACTAGCTATCTGGAGATTCTGCAATTGATTATACGGCATTGTCCTCACGATGGTGGTGATGTAGAAGTGGAGTGGACCGGCCGAAAGTGCATTGTCCAGCAGTGTTGTGACTTAAGTTAGAAGTGCATTGAAGTAGCACAGGGAAGTAAGAAGTTGAGATCAGCGTGCCTGGTATATACTTCCTCCGCGTCATTAAAATTGTCGCTTCGCACATCGCAATATTTGTGACTTGGCTCGTCTTAGTCAGACTGTCGGAATCACTGTTTTCTGTGTTCGAACACTGGTGTGACCCTTCCTGCGCAATGTCTACTTGTCACTGAAGCTGTGGTGGTCTCGGACTTTGTCGGAGCTCTCTTCCGCACCAAGCAAATTCATCGCGCTCCGCACCGCTCCAGAGCACATTTCGTTTTCTGGAGTTCGTGCCGTGACACATCTTTCGCATGGGCATTTGTCAAGACTGCAAGCTCGGGTATAAGAATCCTGGTATCTCTCCTGAATACGAACTGCTGAAGTTGACGATGGCAAGAACAAAGTAGTCTCAAATTCCTAAAATGTGCTACTTGTGGCGCATGTTGCTGCGAAGGTAGCAGGTCCGAAAACACCAACAAAATCAGCGAAGCGCTTGCCAAGGAAAGAAGTTGCGGAACTGCTTACCCTATCCCGTTGGAAGGTCGTTACAGTGAACTTGAAAAATGCTAGCTTGCCTTCATCGCCTGCCACCTGGAGGCATGGATCGCTTGAAAACGAAGTTTCTCGACCTCAATTTGAACGCGCGTCTTGTTCAGCGTATCGTTGAGTGCTGAAGGGTCTGCCTAAAACTCTAGTGAAGACGTTGACCTTACTTGAGTAGCTGCAAGTGCAGCGGAGCAGGGGGTCACAAACAAAAGCTTGGTCCGTCGACAATGCTCTGCCTCGATTTCTAGCTGATTTCTTTGCCCTTCGAGTGGACAAAAATAATTTCGAAAAATCGCTCTGGGAAGCGACAATTTTAATGACGCGGAGGAAGTAATACAAAATATGAACTGCATCAGGGGTGTGTAATGGTGAAAATGACACATGCACTTACTAACAAGTTGGTATCAGATTCATTGAAAGAGACTAGTGGATTTCAGAACCTAGCTGGCGAATCAGTTCGCTGAGGTCTTATCCTCAAAATAGATACCGGGAAGGATTGAGTATTGTGAAAGTCCGCAAATACGTACGCACACACATGTAGGTGAGGTCACGCTCCTGCCGAGGCATGGTGGGCACTTTGGGTCATGAAGTAACTTTCAAGCCCAACTTCAGGGTAATGTATCAGTATTTGTTATCCTGTAAATGGCCTACATTGCAAAGACATGGTGTGCAAAGTGGAGAGTGTACATGGTAAACATTGGAGCAGTGTTATCATCGGTCTAACATTATACTCAACTGCAATGGGCACTGTCAATAAGTGAACGGGCCTACATCCTATTGGTGCGTACTTATTTTTAAGGTGTTCAAGGTATTTAAATTTCAATGTCTGGATCTACAGGCTGTTATCTAAATGGCAAAAAGTAGTATTACCACTATTCTTCCGTATGCATTCGACTCGTATGCACATGCATAAGCACATACAGTGATGCATATTGGAGTGATGCACCACAACGAAATGCGGGTCAGCATGTCGCTGTCCGCTGCAACCAGACAGAGCCTCCCCTGAGCCCAACAGCAAGGTACCTCGGCGTGACCCTTGACGACGCTGTGAAGTGGGACCCCCATGTTGACGCGATGGCGAAGAAAGTTGTGCAGAAGATTGGAGCATTGTGGCGGTCCCGCAGATGTCTGAGCCTCAGTAGTCGCATCCAGTATGTGAGGTCAGTCATCATGCCTGACCTCCTTTATGGGTCTAACGCATTCTCTTCCTCCCTCAAGGTTTCGCAGCTTGATCGCCTTCAGGTCCTGCAGAACCGAGCGGCGAGAGCGGTATACGGTTTGCCGCCTCACACCTCGGCTCAGCCTCTGCTCGAACGGATGTCCCTGTACAGAGTTCACGAGTGCTACGCCCAGAAGCGGCTCGTCCTGGTGTGGCGCTGTGTCAATGGGAAAGCCAGCAGTGTCCTCCAGGACCTATTCTCACCATCAGCTGGCAGCACCACCCGGCACAAGGTTTCCAGGGGCCTCACTGTCCCCTCGGCACAGTCAGAAGCCGGCAGATCTCGCCTGGCCTTTCAGGCAGCCTTGGCCTGGAACGCTCTCCCAAGGAGTGTAAGGGAGATCAAGGCTGCCCAGCAATTTAAGCTTGCCTCCATCCTCTACACCTTGCAATGAATGCTCTGTCTGACTTTCCCGTCCACACACCACGTCATTTACTCTTCTCTGCGTGCTTGTGCGCTTATGAACTCTTTGTGTTCCCTCTGTTGACGCTTCAAAATCGCTCTATTGACACTGCAAAATCGCTCTGTTGACGCTGCAAAATTGCTTATCATCTCCCTCCCTCTCTTCCCCCCCCCCTCTCTCTCTCTCTCTCTCTCTCTCTCCCCGTAGCTCTCTCCCTTTTGAAATTCGCTTCCATAGAATTGGGCACCATTGCCCGTCTGGCCTTGCGAAGCAAAATAAAAATCAACAACAACAGATGTCCCTGTGAAAGATATAAGTAATTCTGAATTGGACCAAAGTAACCTAGAGGCCTTCGATTAGCCTGGAAGGAGTATAAATAAAGAAGTCATTCAGCATGGGAAAACTCCGTGGTTCATAATCTATGAGCTCAAAAGGAGTTGAATCTGTATCACACTTCCAGAGTACAGCAGCATCAGCAGCTGCTGCAGCGAGTAACCGCGCGTATTGTAGGTCTATGACATTATAGCGCACCGCTCCATGAGTTACAGTATATACAAACTAACCTCTGTGTCGAATACAACTGTCACAAGTGAATGGCGATGTGCAGTGCCTCCACTCAGCCAATGTGCTGCATTAGCAAGGGGGTGTGATTCTGGAAAGTAAGAACCGACAGACAAAACACAATGTATGGAGGCTTGGTCATGCACTGCTTTTCAAACAGTGGGACTTTTCTAATGAATCTTTGGAATAACATTTGCTGAAGACTGCAGTCCCTTTATTTACTGTAGTTCATTTTGGTTCCCACGGTACGTACTGGAAAACCGGAAATATTCGGTGGTGTACTATTTCTGGAATTTCCCAAAATCAACGGTTCCGTAGCGCGAACATTTCGGTAAACCAGTTTTTCAGATCCAAGAAATGCATTCTGGACACTGTGTGGCATGACTTGCTTTTTAGGTCGCGTTTTATTTTAGGTGAAAATTACCTGTACCGAAGTTACCGAAAATACATCTCCACTGAAATTTTACAGTGTTAAAGTATACTAAGTGATTTTCATACAACTGCCAGCCAGTATTCTACTTCACGAGCAAGGGGAGCGTTTATCTTTCCTAGATGGTTTGCATGACGGTCAGTTAGACTGACTTTTCCTATCCTTGGAACGCCATCACCCTCAAAGAGCCAGGCGAAGATGAAGCTTCTAAAGCGGTGGGAGCTGAGTAAGTTATACCCGTCATAAGGTGGGCAGAGACCAAAATCTCCTCAGTTGCATCCATGTTACCCTCGTACCAGGCCAAGAGTTCAAAAATAACTGTGGATCTCATTTCAAGTAGGACTTGGATCTAGCACCCTCTGTTGCTCATTCATTGTCTTAGACCATCTCACTATCCCGACTGGCCTACTTCCTCCGCGTCATTAAAATTGTCGCTTCGCACATCGCAATGTTTGTTACTTGGCTCGTCTTAGTCAGACTGTCGGAATCGCTGTTTTCTGTGTTCGAACATTGGTGCTACCCTTCCTGCGCAATGTGCACTTGTTACTGAAGCGGTGGTGGTCTCGGACTTTGTCGGAGGTCTCTTCCGCACCAAGAAATTTCATCGCGCTCCGCACTATTCCGTCCCAGAGCGCATATCGTTTTTCTGGAGTTCGTGCCGTCCCACGTCGCTCCTTGGGCATTTATCAAGACTGCATGCTCCGGTATAAGAATCCTGGTATCTCTCCTGAATACGGAAGGCTGAAGTTGACGATGGCAAGAACAAAGTGTTCTCAAATTCCCAAAGTGCGCTACTTGTGGCGCATGTTGCTGCGAAGGTAGCAGGTCTGAAAACACCAACGAAATCAGCAAAGCGCTTGCCAAGGAAAGAATGTGCGGGACTGCTTACCCTATCCCGCTGGAAAGTCGCTACAGTGTACTTGAAAAATTCTAGCTTGCCTTAATCGCCTGCCACTTGGAGGCATGGATCGCTTGAAAACGAAGTTTCTTGACCTGAATTTGAACGCGCGTCTTGTTCAGCGTGTTGAGTGCTGAAGGGTCTGCTTCAAACTCTGATGAAGACGTCAACCTTAGCTGCAAGTGAAGTGAAGCGGGAGGCCACAAACTAAAGCTTGGTCCGTCGACAATGCTCTGCCTCAACTTCTAGCTGATTTCTTTGCCCTTCGAGTGGAAAAAATAGATTTTAATTCGAAGAATCGCTCTGGGAAGCGACAATTTTAATGACGCGGAGGAAGTATAATTTAGAAAACTTGCTATTAAGAACAGACATTGTGTTTGTTGTTGACTAAATTTGTCCTAAATCTTTCCTTTTTAGCCACTGACCACTGGAACTCAGTTCCGGTATCTGTCTGCCTTGCTGCTTCACCCAGTCAATTTCGTATCGCAATCCTAGATTGGCTAGGGTTCCCCGTAAGGAGACCATAGGTCTGTGGGGACTGCCCTAGAGAAATATGAATAAATACTATACTATACTATAAACACTTGATCCCGACCATAAAATTAATATTGAATCTGTATATTTTTCAGGAAGACTCAAATTCACAGTTTCAAATAAACGTAAAACACACTAAATTGGAAATTTGAAAGTCTCTTCTGAAAGAGTTTTGCAAAGCAAAGAATAGTATGAATAGCTTTTTCATCTCTCTACTGAAAGAAAACTTTGACTCCATACGAAGCCCTCAAAGGTTGATTGGCGTACTTCACTATGCCTTACTGGCGCTTTCATTAACCATTACTATGCTCTTTATGCAATGCTTCATTAGTTTCGAGAAATCGCATGATTCCCTTAATAGACACTATTATTATTATTAAATTTTGAATAGGGCATCTTTGTGATAATCCATAGAAAGTAGGGCTGCGATGGTTAGGGGGTTTGGTCAGGTAACGGGCTCGGGTATTTTTATCCGCATAGTACGAGTACACCATCGGGTATATTTTAGCGCAAACTGCTACCCGAATACCCGCTCTAATCACAAGTAGAACGGGTACCCTAATTTCAGAAATTTTCGGTGCTCAATATTTTCACTATGAGGGCAAAAGGCCAGGTTAGGCGAACAGAAATTTTCGGTACAGGGAAGCAGTTCCCTATTGGATTATGTGTGTTAGTTGAAATTTTAGGTATGAAACAGACGCACCGAAAGTACCGAAAATAAAAGTACACCTTAAATTTGTGAAATTACAGTACTCTACTCCTCGATGACACCCCGAATAGAAAGGATAGGCGTTTTGCATGCCACGTTGTTTCCTTTCTCTATTACAAATTTCACTCTATATAAGGTTCACGGAAGAGATTAATGATGGCCGTTCAGCATATACCAAGCAACCCCAAGGGAGATGGCGAAATGGGGGGACATACCATGCAGCTAGCAACTCCAGGGGAGATGGTCGAGTGGGTGGGACATACCAAGCAGCTAGCAACCCCAATGGAGATGGTGGAGTGGGTGGGACATACCAAGCAGCTAGCCACCCCATTGGGAGATGGTGGAGTGGGTGGGCCATACCAAGCAGCGAGCAACTCCAAGGGAGATGGTCGAGTGAGTTGACCATACCAAGCAACTTGCAACCCCAAGGGAGATGGTGGAGCGGGTGGGATATGCCAATCAGCTAGCAACCCCAATGGAGATGGTGGAGTGGGTGGGACATACCAAGCAGCTAGCAACCCCATTGGGAGATGGTGGAGTGGGTGGGCCATACCAAGCAGCGAGCAACTCCAAGGGAGATGGTGGAGTGGGTGGACCATACCAAGCAGCTTGCAACCCCAAGAGAGATGGTGGAGCGGGTGGGATATGCCAAGCGGCTAGCAACCCCAAGGGACACGGCGGAGTGGGTGGGACACACCAAAGCAGTTAGCAACCCCAGGAGAGATGGTGGAGTGAGTGGGACATACCAAGCAGCTAACAACCCCAATGGAGATGGTGGAGTGGGTGAGACATACCAAGCAGCAAGCAGCTAGCAACCCCAGGGGAGATGGTGGAGTGAGTGGGACGTACCATACAGCTAGCAACCCCAGGGGAGATGGTGGAGTGGGTGAGACATGCCAAGTAGCTAGCAACTCCAAGGGAGATGGTGGAGTGGGTGGGACATACCAAGCAGCTAGCAAACCCAGAGGAGATGGTGGAGCGGGTGGGATATGCCAAGCAGCTAGCAACCCTAAGGGACACGGCGGAGTGGGTGGGACACACCAAGCAGCTAGCAAACCCAGGGGAGATGGTGGAGCGGGTGGGACATACCAAGCAGCTAACAACCCCAATGGAGATGGTGGAGTGGGTGAGACATACCAAGCAGCAACCAGCTAGCAACCCCAGGGGAGATGGTGCAGTGGTTGGACATGCCAAGCAGCTAACAAACCCAATGGAGATGGTGGAGTGGGTGAGACATACCAAGCAGCAAGCAACTAGCAACCCCAGGGGAGATGGTGGAGTGAGTGGGACGTACCATGCAGATAGCAACCCCAATGGAGATGGTGGAGTGGGTGAGACATGCCAAGTAGCTAGCAACTCCAAGGGAGATGGTGGAGTGGGTGGGACATACCATGCAGCTAGCAACCCCAGGGGAGGTGGTGGAGTGGGTGAGAGATGCCAAGTAGATAGCAACTCCAAGGGAGATGGTGGAGTGGGTTGGACATACCAAGCAGCTAGCAAACCCAGAGAAGATGGTGGAGTGGGTGGGACATACCAAGCAGCTAGCAACCCCAGCGGAGATGGTAAAGTGGGTGGGACATACCAAGCAGCTAGCAACCCCATGGGCGATGGTGGAGTGGGTGGGCCATACCAAGCAGCTAGCAACCCCAATGGAGATGGTGGAGTGAGTGGAGTGGGTGGGACATACCAAGCAGCTAGCAACCCTATTGGGAGATGGTGGAGTGGGTGGGACATACCAAGCAGCTAGCAACCCCAATGGAGATGGTGGAGAGGGTGGAACATACCAAGCAGCTAGCAACCCCAATGGAGATGGTGGAGTGAGTGGGACATACCATGCAGCCAGCAACCCCAGGGGAGATGGTGGAGTGGGTGGGACATACCAAGCAGCTAGCAACCCCAGGGGAGATGGTGGAGTGGGTGGGATATACCAAGCAGCTAGCAACCCCAAGGGCGGTGGTGGAGTGGGTGGGACATACCAAGCGCCTAGCTACCCCAGGGGAGATGTTGGAGTGGGTGGGACATACCAAGCACCTAGCAACCCCAGCGGAGATGGTCGAGTGGGTGGGACATACCAAGCAGCTAGCAACCCCATGGGCCATGGTGGAGTGAGTGGGCCATACCAAGCAGCTAGCAACCCCATTGGGAGATGGTGCAGTGGGTGGGACAAACCAAGCAGCTAGCAACCCCAATGGAGATGGTGGAGTGGGTGGAACATACCAAGCAGCTAGCAACCCCAATGGAGATGGTGGGTGAGTGGGACATACCAAGCAGCCAGCAACCCCAGGGGAGATGTTGGAGTGGGTGGGACATACCAAGCACCTAGCAACCCCAGGGGAGATGGTAGAGTGGGTGGGATATACCAAGCTCCGCCGACCATATTTATAATGGCATCACTGTTCCATAGGTGCACCAGTGAAGTAGAGTAAAAAAAGAAGAGAGGAGTGAGAGAGAGAAAGGATGAGAAAATCCCTTTGCACTTTCTGACCATATCCAATATTCGTTTCGTTTTGTCTCGATAAG